TGCCACTTGCAAGTGGCCCCTCGACTTGCAGCCGAGTTCCTTTGTTTTTCATACCACTTGCAAGTGGACCTTCAACTTGCAACCAGGTCTTCTTTTTTGATGCCACTTGCAAGTGGACCCTCGACTAGCACCGGGACCCTTTCTTTTTGATGCCACTTGCAAGTGGACCCTCGACTTGCAACCGGGTCTTCATTTTTTCATGCCACTTGCAAGTGGACCCTTGACTTGCAACCGGGTTTTCTGTTTTGATGCCACTTGCAAGTGGAGCCTCGACTTGCAACTGGGTTTTATGTTTTGATGCCACTTGCAAGTGGAGCCTCAAGGTGCAACCGGAATTGAATTGTTACTCACAACATCCAGAACGTTTTGATGATGTTCTAAACTGATGGACCAGATAGGCGAATGGGTAAGGTGGAATCATCTGCAGAAAATTAGCTCCATTGCCTTGCATTTGAGAAAGCCTCGGGTCAAACACCATTCCCAGGGTACTGGGAGCGCACATGCTACGATCAAAACATACAGGTAAGTTTATCTTTGTTTCTGCCCTCAATCAGATTTTTCTAAGCTGGATCGTACCTGAGTATCAATGTAGTCGCGTGCATAGATACCTTCATTTGCTACAAATGCAATGTTACAATGAATCAAAACTTTTGTTGGAATAGATATTCAAAAAGTTTATGCTTGTGTTTTGTATGTGAAGACTAAAAGTTGTAGCTGCTTTTTTTTTTCAACATAAGATTTTGATCAGATGTAAGCTCCTATTTTTTACATCAGTTATAGTTGTCATCACTTTTATGGTGAAGACTAAAAGTTGAACCACAACCTGATACACACCATTTTTTTACCTTAAAACATGCAAATCGCTGTTATATGATCTTATTTTTTGCTTACTAGATATATGAACTTTTTTTTATTTTTCTGTCAACATGATACAACACACTGTGATTTAGTTATCTAAGGAATTCTAACACAGTTGATTGCAGTTAATTTCAAAGTTTTCTCTCTCTTTTTTTAGTTGAGAATGGAGTGTTTCATTTATAGAATAAGCAATTTTTCCTAACAAGTTAAGTATGCTTTGTCATTTACTCCAGTCTGCAGATTTATATGGATGGAACTATGAATGTGATTGCTTATGGCCATTTTGTCATCATGCATTTCCCCCATTCTGAATATAAATTCCCTTCTCAACAATGCAAAAAACAGTCATTTTTCAGACTTTATTGCCTGATCAATTTATGAAACTACATCAAATTTTCCTACACTATAATACACTGACTTGTACTTATTAATTGGCAAAGCACCAAAATTTTGTTTGTCTTCTCTTACACATATACTTTGTTTTTAGCCTTGTTTTTTTGATTGAGAGAACAAGACAACAGATCTTGAACCGGTGCGAGCCAACTGATGTGCGTTTTTCCTACACACCAGCCTCTGTTTGTTTCTCCCATCAACAGATGGAAAAAGAGAGGTCAAAAGTATATACAAGGTTGTACAAGACCAGCCTCTATATGTTTCTCATTTGGAATAGAATTTAAGATTGTACACTATAATACACTGTGATTCTTTGTCAATACACTGTGATTCCCTATGTTTCTAAAGTATGTACAAAAGCTGCATAAACCCTCGCTAGGTTTTATTTTCCCAGCCATCAAAACTCATTCTACAAGCAAGCAAGTGTTTTCTGCGAACAAACAAAGCCCAGTCCTTTTCTTTTGTCAAACAAACAAACAGGCAAATAATAAGTCCAACAAACAAGGCCCAGGAGGCGGGGTAGTTGGGTTGGGTGGGTTGGGTGGGAGGGACAAAACAATACAAGTTAAAACATACAAACAAGTCCAGGTGGAGGAGGGGATCGGGAGCAAACAGTTTGTTTTGTTTGTCAACGAGAGCAGTTTCTAGAGGTGACGTCACATCTAGATGTGACATAGACAGACCCGTTAAAAAAATCCTCGCACTAATCCGCCGCAAATCACAGAATCGCCGAAGACTCCCGCACATCTCCGCCGGCGAAACCCTAGCGGCGGCCGGCGATGGGGGAGTACGCGGCGGTCAAGACGTCGGTGTGGTGGGACATCGAGAACTGTGCCGTCCCGCGCAGCTGCGACCCCCAGCTCATCGTCCAGAACATGAGCTCAGCCCTCGCCACCGCCGGCTACCGCGGCCCCATCTCCGTCTCCGCCTACGGGGACACCCACCAAATCGCCCACAACGTCCAGCACGCCCTCTCCAGCACCGGCGTCTCCCTCCACCACGTCCCCGCCGGTACCCCTTCTCCTCCTTACGTACGGCCAGTAGCTCTGCTTTTTCACTTTTGTCAATGGTCCGTCTCTCTGGTGAACTGATTGCTGGGATGTTCGATTGAGACAGATGCTTCTGAGTGGGTATGGTTGATGGATGTGGCGTAATTTTGGACAATACTAGTGGAATCTTAGGGTCCCTGATTTGGGGTGTGCTTCCTCTAATTGATTTCAGTCTCGTGGTTTCTCTTTTTAGGAACAGGTCAGCTTTATTTGATTACGAAATAATGCTCTGACACTCATGAACACACCACAACTCGGCTCACACT